CATTAGGATTACTTTTTCAAAATATACAATTTTATCTACGAATCAATACTTAGCATCGAGGAGATTTCAAAAGAGGGTCTGATCAAAGGAAATATTTCCAAGAAGCTTCTAAATGGGGCAAAGCGTCTAAGAGGACCCCTATAAACAGGGGAAAATACTAATGATCGTAGGGGTATATCACATGAAGATACTATTAACAAGAGGTGATCATTCAGAGATTCAATCAGCTCGGATCAAATTTCAAAGCACTGTTCAATCAGGGACATGCCTTTCGAAGGATCATTCCTTAATCAAGTCATATCACAGCAGGGTATAACTCGGTTTCCCTGTTTTAACAAACCTCTCAAGGCCTTGATAATCAGGGCAACCTTCCAAGATTCAAATTTGGGGCAGTAAGTTCATCCTATTGCACGTAGGGTCCAAATTCCCCTTCAAGTATAAACTTTTCAGGCTGCGAATACTTGGTGCAATCTACGGCAAGTTCATGGTGAGGTCTAAGTTTTTTTTCTGAGGGTACTTCCTCCAAATCCTGGAGATTGATGGGTGCATCTGTCAAAATTTGAATGTTGGGGAAACCCATTATGGGGCTCGACTTAAAAGGAGTTGATTCAAAGTGGTTCATCAAAGCCAAACATTTCAAGAGTATTTTAATCAGGGGCATAAAGCAAAATAGTGGAGTCATTCATATTATGATAAAATTATTTCCAAGCTCATATAAATGAGAATCTCCTTCAAGACCCTACCAACAAGTTAGGGAAAGACAATCCACATAGGGGCAAGCTCTCTATGTACTTTCATAATCTCCAGTGGATCTTTCTCCTACATCAGAAATCTTCAAGTTCAAATCGATTATCGAGAAATCATGATAGCATAAGATTCAGCTATCATGTGACAAGAAACTTTTTCGCATATACAAACCCCTACGCTTTAATCATCCACGACCCATCACAGGGGCACAATTAAAAAATCATTTGAGTCATAATCATAAAGCACATGAATCATGCATTAGGGTTCCTCGATCTAGAATTAAGCTATACTTGTCATCTCACCCATCTGACGAATTCCGACAGCATGGATTGAGCACATCCCAAAAGAAAGAGAAGCCCAATTATGCATTCTCATTTCAAAGTCCAACATCCATTTTTACACATATCCAAGTCACTCATTGCATGCATTAATCAATCATTATATTTCATGCATCGATCAAATTTACACGCATAGCATAAAACCCTGTTTTATGTGAAGACAATCATCTTTGTCAATCAAGCTACCTAATTTTACGTTGAACCTCGGCAAAAGGTAGCTCACAATTGAATATCGACAGTAGATTCCCCTGGTTGATCTCGTCAGTTGATTATCCAGAAGACCTCAATAATAGGTAATTCACAATTGAATCTCGGGAGAAGATTCCCCTGGTTGATCTCAGCAGATAATTTTCCAGAAGACCTCGGCATAATGTATTTCTCAATTGAATCTCGGTAGTAGATTCCACTGGTTGATCACTGCAGTTGATTATCCGGAAGACCTCGGTAGAAGATATTTCAACAAAATATCGGCAGTAGATTCCTCTGGTTAATCACGAAAATTGATTATCCAGAAGACCTCGGAAGAAGGTATTTCAATAGAATCTTGGCAGAAGGTAGTTTACAAACGAATCTCAGTGGTAGATTCCCCTGGTTGATCATGACAGTTAATTATCCAAAAAACTTCAGCAGAAGGTAGTTCCCGGTCAAATCTCGGTAGTAGATTCCCCTGGTTAATCTCGGCAGATGATTATTCGGAAGACCTCGGGAGAAGTTAGTTCTCAATTGAATCTCAGCAGTAGATTCCTTAGAAATCTTAGCAGTAGATTTCCTCTCAAAAAGCCTCACATTAAGCATGACGTACATATAACCATATCGAAAGCTCAAGGTCATGCACTACGTTTGGTGCACCTAACATACAGAAACACCGAAGAACAGTTAGCATCAAAGTTTATTCCGGTTAGAAAAACATCGAAATCCATGCCTATTTCTACGCCCACGGTTACATCTACGACTATGACAACGTCCACGCCAACGACCATATCTATGTCCATACATACACCTGCACCTACGATACATATATCAAAATATCTCTGAGACTTTTCACCAAATTCAAATTAACTTGGAGATACAATAATTGGGAACAAACAATGTTAGGATGTAGGTGACTACAAGAACCCGATGGTTTAGTGAAAGAGAATTCCCAAAAAAAAACATTTTTCATAACATTTTGGGGCATATACACACATTTTGCACATATATTTTTGTGGGGCATATACACATAGTTTGCACCAACATATATTTGAGGCATACACACATTCGCTACATATGCACTCTAAAGTCCATGTTTCCATACATATGCATCATGCATGACATTTCTCAACCTACTACGAATAGAGTCAATATCTTAGGGCCCTCCATCAGTTCTTACCTCGGCTAGAAGCAAATAATAAGTAAAATTCATTCTCATCTCTGATTTAGTTATCTAAGACGTGGATCATTCAAAAATAACTTCCTTTATATTCCACTCATTATGTCCGTCTCTATGAAATAATGCGTGAAATTTTCTATATTTAATGTATTGTGTCAGTCTCCAAGCAGCAATATGTTCTTTCTTTGCGATCTTAGCTCATTGTGTCAGACTCCAGGAAACAATGTTGCAAAATCAGCAATTCCACCCAATGTGTCAGTGCGACAATATGTGAAATTTTCTATATTCAACTTATTGTGTCATTCTCCATGCAGCAATATGTTATTTTTTTGCGATATTAGCTCATTGTGTCAGACTCCAGGAAACAATGTTGCGGAATCAGTGATTCCACCCATTGCGTCAGTCTCTATGCGATAATGTGTGAAAATTTTCTATATTAAACTTATTGTGTTAGTCTCGACGCACCAATATGTTCTTTCTTTGCGATCTTAGCTCATTGTGTCAGACCCCAGGCAGCAATGTTGTGAAGTCAACATTTCCACCCATTTTGTCAATATCTATACAAAAATGTGTGAAATTTTCTATATTTAACTTATTGTGTCAGTCTCCATGCAGCAATATGTTCTTCATTTGCAATATAGCTCATTATGTGAGACTCCATGCAGCAATGTGCGAAATTCGCAATATAATCCATTGCATCAGTCTCCATGCAGCAATGCTATTATCAAGCCTTCTCTACGATTTATCCCATTGCATCAGTCTCCATGCAGAAATGTTACTATCAAGCTTTTTTTGGATATAACTCATTGCATCAGGCTCTAGCAGTGATGTAGTTATCGAGCTTTTTTCAATTATCTATCCCCTAGGTTGCGATAGATATGCGAATAAATTTGTGTAATCCATTGCATCAGTCTCTAGGCAGCAATGTATTATCGGACTTTGTTTTAATCATCCCCTAGGTTGTGATGAATAGACAAAATCAAATCAAAACTTGCTATATTAGTCTCCAAGCATTAGTAAGTCATCTTCTCAAATTGTATCATTTACCTCCTAGGTTACGGTAAATGTGCAAAAATTCTACAATCTCTTTTAGATACTAACAAGTCATCTACATCGTCATGTCTAATCAAAATTTGGTTCAAACATCGGTAGGATGATATATTATCATCTGTACCTATTTTCACATTCATGGGAACGCTGTACAGCTTATCCTTATAAGTCTTTCGGGCAAATTATGGGGTCTTCCGATACTTAATAAACTTCCGATCAGAACGTGCGAGACCTGCGTATTCTCGCACTATTCAATCAAAAGATCATTAAATAGGGGCAGCTATCATGCCCCAAATTTTCCCTATCCTTATATTTACATTTTTTTAATTAGGTCACATTATTTAATTCTTATTTCTATGGGGGGAGTAAAACGTGAAAAGGGGTGTATAGATGGACCATCAATATCTAATGGCCCATTAGGCTTAAATAAAATTCCATTTCAAGCTGAGGGGGGTGTATCATTCAACCAAGGAGGTGTGAACGAATTTGCTTTTCAATAAAGCCCATTTAGGTTTTTTTTAATAAGGTCAGAAATTGCGTGAAGCAATATATTTTTAAGCCCAATGAATTAAACAATTAGGCCCATTTAGTTTTTTTGGTTTAGATTGTTTTATTATAACATTGTTGTTATCTTATAATTATTAAATTGTTATTACTGACTATTTTTATGCTAATGTTCATTTTAATTAAAATATTATATTATGACTTAATTTCTGTTTTTATTATTTAAAAAGAAAAGTGATAACGCAGAAAATTCTTCTTTTTGCGGTTCAAGTTTAAACCATCAGGCCTAATTTGGAGGCCCGTTTAGTCTTGATTTGCTTTAAATTCTTAGTTGTTTTAAATGTTATAAACTATAGTTATTATTTTGATTTACTCTTAGTATATCAGTTGGATTTTTTTTTGAAAAAAGCAGTGACTAAAAGATAGGTCCAAACACCAAGCCCAGTTCGATTAGAAAGTCATTTTGTTGCAAATTAGCCAAATAGGCCCAAAAGCAAGTGATACCGCATGGCCTAAAAAGGGAATTAAAAGAAAAACAGTTACTGTATACATTCAGAAGCGCACGCTGCAATGTTAACTTACTGGTTCGATTCAAATAAAATAAAAATCTTCTTCACCAATTTGAAATCCTAAAACAGAACTTAATAGCATAATTCAAGTATGCGATTGTTCAATGCATAATCAAGACTAGAATCAAGCCAAAACAGGAATATATTAAAACTGTGTATTAAAAATTACAGACACATTAAACTTTTTCCTAAAGATTTCTTCCCTAATCTGCTAAAAAATTTACAGACACTTAATTTCAATTCCTAATTCATAATTCCTAAAGCTGCTAAAAAAACCAAAACAATTTCAATTCCTAATTCATAATTCCTAAAGCTGCTAAAAAAACCAAAACAAAATTACAAGAGAAGAAGGGGGAAGCGGATGATTACAATAAGCAGGAGGAAAAACAATTACAAAAAAGAAAAAGAAAACTGAAGAAGAATATGAGAAGAACAGAGGGGGTTCGATGGAGTCACCGCCATCGCAAAACTCACCCGTATCACTCGCCCCAGTTTAGGGTTTCAAGATATGAAACCCTAAGTCCCAATCGCTTGCCACCGTCACTCTCGCTGTCTTCTGCCATCGCCGCCGCCATCGTCACCATTGTCAAAACATCACCGTGGTGCCTGCAAAAGTGAAAAGGGAAAGGAAGATATTAGGGGAAGTGAAATCGGAACAGAGACGAGAAAAGCACGACGAGGTAAAAGAATAACTAAGCTTCTTCTATTTTTGTCATGTTGGGGCTTTTGGATTACGACATCAGAGAAGAAGGGAGAGGTTCGTGCCTCCAAGGATTCAAAAGGGGGTAGGGTTTTGGTTTGTAGACAGGGAGAAGAGAGAAAGCGAAGCTAAGAGAAAGAAAGATAAAAAATTGTCTTGCTTTGTTGTAAATAAGAACATAATGTATATATAATCTTAAGCGCGTGAGGCCACAATTATTATCACGCGGCCTCAGGTTACAACCACATGATCTCTATCCTGTGGTCCAAAGCGAGTGCCCATATTAACTACCGTATTCTTGCTTACACAGAGTCCAAATGGACTCCTTAATCTCGTTGGGCCTGGCCCATTTACTAACACACCCTCTTTTTTTTTATTATTTTTGCTAAGATGAACAAAAAACACATACCCAGCCTTAATGGGCCCGGTCCAAAATCTGGACTTGGGCCCTGTTGATTTATGCACCCCCTTATTTTGCTGTATAAACTTAAAAATGCGCCTCTGTTATTTGAGGTTTGAATTCAATATCTGAATTCAGACCCATGCTACCTACAGCCTATCATTTTACTACTTAAATTATATTTATACCCCCTCCATTTTAATTTAACTTTTCTTTTATTATTTTATTATAATTATTATTTTTATATTTTTATATTTATATGTTAATAATATATTTATTTATTACTATAAATCAAATTTGTTTTTCCAACTAAAAATATATATTTATTTATTATATTAAATTATTATTATTTTAATCATGCATTCAAATAAATAATTCTCATAATTAACATATTAAAAAAAACTCATCATACTATAAACTCATTTTTAAAATCAAATCAATTCAATAATCAACTTTCAAAAAGAATTACAAATTTATTCAAATTGACTGTGTGTTTAGTCTAACAATCTCTGTTATTCACGACACCTAGACTAAACATGAGGGAGATGTGAATATCTTTGTAATTCATAAAAAACACCAATCAACCCGCGAACTATTAAATGAGACTCTGATTCTTCATAAGAGGATACGTGGGCATACGATTAAAATCATGGAGAGTCCCACTAATTAAAATTAAAACCCTTTTCCCCCTAATAAAACATTAAAACCCTATTTCTTAAAAATTGCTCTTCTAAACCTAGTATCCTTGTGAGCAAGGTAGATGAGGGGTGCCTAACACCTTCCCCTCATCTAGAACCGAGTCAATAATCTAGAATCCCTGACTATTTTAGGGTTATCCTTTATACTCCCTTCCTTAGAATAAAAATTAAGGGTGGCGACTCTGAATTTAAAAACCAGTTGCAACATCATGTAGTGCATCTTCACGCCTAATTGGAATATCAATGCTAGTGCGTTGCTCTTGGAACATATTCAATCCGTCTGTGCAAGGGGTACTACACCTTTATGTATTGGAGGGTAAGATACCTCTATAGAGCTTTCTATGAACCTGGGGGACATACTAGATCATTTTCCTTCATTGTCATCCCTATTTATCGATATTGACAATTATCGTGTTGGGCACCTAATCAAGGCTAGAGAGGATGGAAAATATAATCTTATGGTGTAGAATAAAGTATTTTTGAGTATTATTTTGTCTAATCTCGTGCTCATCAATGTAATAAATATGGAGAAGTGGCATTATGATCTAAGTGCTCCTGCTCTATGTGAAAACATCTAGGATAACCAAGATGGTCAGAAAAAAACTTAGCCCGATGAAATGGAGCAAGTGTTGGAGCAAGAATCTCCACAACCTGACATCCACACACCTGCTGCACAAATTCTTCCTAAAAATTTTGTAGGTTCATCATCTGGGCATCAGCCTTGAAGAAGAAGAAATCAGGGCCAGCTAACTACTCTTGATGACATCTATGCTAAAATGTTGCAACATAATGAAGAAGAAGCTCAACATTACCAAAGAATGGAAGCACAACATAATGAGGTGATGCGGGAGGTCCGACAACTTCAGCGAGATCAACACGACTACATCTACTGGCATGACCATAGTATGTTGGAGCTAACCGAAGATATGTAAGCATTGACTTATCATGTTGATGGCCTACATGATTTGTTACTCATGTCGAACTTCAGAGATTTGGTTTAAAGCCTTTCCAAGGTAGAGATTATACACGTGGATGAACACGAGCAAGGGCACGTCGCGTAACACGTGGCCGAGGAAATGAGTAGTCATCATCTCAATTTATTCCTTCCTTTCTCACATTTCATCGTTGCATTACGGACAATGCTCGGTCTAAGTATGGGGGAGGAAGCTTTACTACTTTCATTTACCGTTTTCTAAGTAAATTTACATTATCGCCAATTTCCCTTAAATAAACATTTATGTACTATCAAGTCTTTATATGTAGATTTTCGTTTATTATTTGACTTCCTCACTTTCTTGAGCCATAACAAAAAAAAATTACTTGACACATTTAAAAAGTATATAGGTTGCTCACTCTTAAGATATGTTAAAAATTTTGAGTAAAATTTAAACAAAATTGATATCGTCTTAACACTCTAAAACCCCCGCTTACGCGAGTCCGATTTAAGTACCTATTATACCAAAACCTTAATCTTTAAAGTAACTCCGAGTAGTTTATATAAGTAGTTGGCACTGTCCTAAAAACAAACTACGTAGAGAGCCGATGAATATAAGTGAATGGTCTTAAAACATTTCCAAAAACATCATGTAATGATGAATTGAAAACAGGGAATGTGCTAATTAAGTTAAGTGACCCTCACCCGGTTACTTAATCCAACAGTTGTGGAACTTACAAAATATGTTATAACAACCTGATGTAAGTTGGTTCAGAGGTTTCTGGTGCTGAACTTGGTAGGGTGGACTACGGTTCGATCCCCTACAACTTGCAAATCGGATAAATAAAGGGGTTATCAAATTTATGTACCCTAACCCCATTCTTAAAGTGACCATCACTAACTGGTTACTCTATTATGTGCATGCAAAAATATAAAGGACTTAATGTGATTGCGTTCAAACAAAACGGGTGAAACAAAGAAAAAAAGAACTAGGTTGAGCCATAATAGCATGATTGGGAATGATCTGCATAAGGTGGGGTTGTTTAGTGTCTTTATTGTATCTTTATTGAGATTATATTGTTATAACGAAAATACCTCGCAACCATGTATGATTTGAGTTTTGTCATGTATTTGCGTTTAACCCGTGTTTAATTGATTTTCATACTGATTATTTGCTTGAGGACAAGCAAAGGTTCAATCATGGGGAAGTTTGATAACACGAAAACATATCGCATATTCGATTCGATTAGCATAAATGATGTTACCTTTTTGTATTAATTATGTTGTATTATGTTGGTATTTTAAGTGTTTTTCAGGTATTTACATTTCACAAGAAATGCATAAGAAAAGCGGAAGAAATGACAGAAATGTGTGACTATGTAGCAGAAAACAGAAGAAATTGCATCAGAGGACTGTGATGGTCGTCACAGCCTCCTTCTAGTCGCCACGCCCTGGGATTATGTATGCCCCTCGACACACATGTGTTACGGTCGGCACAAATTTGACTTGTGTGCCCCACGACACACAAGGCATGACCCTCACCACAGTCTGTAATAAATGTGTTCTCTCCATATCTGCAACAAAGCTCTGGTATTTACTCAACCAGAACAAACTGAGCCTGTATTATGATCCACGCCATGATGACCACGTCCCTGATTATTTGGAGAAGCTGAGTCTTCCGATTTCCATACAACTCCTAAATCTTCTTCAACGGAAGTTACAAGCAGGCTATAAAAAGGAAGCAACCAAGCAGCAAAAAACTCTCTCACGCTTTTGTTCAATTTTCTCATAGTTCAAAATGATTATTTTAGAAATTTTAAGCAGTTACTTACCCACCTGAATTAGCAATAGTTTTCCACATCGGGGAGCTATTGCACGAGTATATTTTATTCACAACTTTCAGACTTTATTTTAGTTTATATTTTCTTTCTTCATTCAAGTTATTATTTTCCGTAAGCAAATCCTGCCGGCATATTGTGGAGGATTGCATTTGGTACTAGAAGTTTAGCATTAATTTCAGTTTTCTTTTATTCATTCCATGTTCTTATTTCATTTATATATACTACTTTTACTTAATAATCATTATTATCTTATTTTTTGTTTACTGTAATTTTGTGTTGGTACTCAATAACATGTCTTGCTAATTTCCCTGATACAGTATGTAAGGTCGTAGAACCGAAGGGGTTCGGTAATGAATTGGCATTAACATTTATAAAATACTTTTCTGGTTTGGTTTCCAACATTTAATATCAAAATTTTTTTGTTACAATAGTAAAAGAAAAATAAAGGTTAAAATTGATATAACAAGAGTTTGAGATTTTAACCGGATAGTGGTAATCGAGCATTAGTTTTAAATACAACGAGAGTGATTTACGATTAATTATATTCTATTTGTTTTCAAAAAAGTATTTCTAGATTTTAAATGAGACAGCGAGAGCAAGCATTTAAGTTTAATAATATAATTCGAATCAATAATCACGAGAGTGTGAGATAAAGGTTTTTAAATTGATAGTTTCTACTAAAATAGTGTTTTAAATACTCAAAGATATGCCAATGACTTACTGAATCCCCAAAGTTTGATGTACTACATACCGGTATACCATTATCGAATATCGCTTTTAAATCTAAGTTTATTTTTGTCTCACCCAAAACCCAAGATTAATTATTAGCCTTAGCTTTACACGGTAACTTTAGATAGCGGTAGTTCGATTATCAGTCCTTGATGGTTCGATATTATTTAAAACTACACGATTAGACTGTGCACTTACAGTCACTACACCTGATTGACTCCTACAGTCGCAAACAGTACCTCCTAGATATGAGAACCCCTCTCACTTCCAATGACCACAATGATATCAAACAATCCGAGTCCTA